CCCCCCGAAAAAAACAAAAGCTGAAATCAACAAACTAGATGGCAACTCCTGTTTTAATGATACTGGTTGAATACACATTTTGTAATGATTGGACCTGACAAACCGGTTCACCTGGAAACGGATACTCTCACAGCAGCAGTGTGTGACGATTTCGGCGGCGGCCCTCTTTTCTCGCCTGCAGAATTCGCGCGCAGACCGTGCCAACCGCGCTATCTTCATGAAACGGCGCGCTGTGTGCGAACGTTGAACGGATTCGGTCCGAATGAGCGCAGTTTTAGGAAACGCCGGGGGAAAAGTTGAGAGGGAAACGAGGGGTGGTACGCTGCTTAGTTCCGAGTGATAATTCCCTGAACTGTTGGTCCGCGACTGGCGGTTCTGTCAGGGCGGATTGAAGCGGAGCTTAATAAGCAGCGTCGACTCAGGACGGTTCTATAGCTTCGTGCAGCTAGCCTAGACTCACTTGTATCTCCTTTCTTCTTAGAGGATTGCTCACGCTCTGGGAGGCTGCACTTTTGGTTTTCTGTTGTTTGTGTGTGTGTGTGTGTGTGTGTGAAGACTCGTGTGCTCTGTCTTGTACTGCCACCATTAGCGCCGTTCTTAGGAGTGGGACGGGCGTGCATGGAGGTTTATTTTCTGACCAAGGAGTTCTGCTGGACTAAACGGTTAGTTTTTGTTTACCTCTCTGGTGAGGCTGAAAGTGCAGTGTGTTTGTGTATGTTGTATTGGCTAGCAGCGGAGACTTACACTGTGCAAGGTTTGTTGTTGTTGTTGTCGTTGTTGTTGTCGTTGTTGTCGTTGTTGTTGTTGTTGTTGTTGTTACTATTGCTGTTGTTGGAAGTGGTGGTGGTACTATCTTGGTGCTATTGGTGTACATGTTGTTTTGGACATCATGCCTGATGACTGATTAATTTTCCTATTTGTTTGTTCTTGTACGAAATTAGCTACCTGCTTATGTGTTTGTGTTTGTTTTTTTAGTGTATGTTTTATGTGTGTACGTTATGTGTTCTATCGTCTGTGGATGTTTATCTCACGTTACAGTTTTAAGTCCTGAGTGTGTGTGTGTGTGTGTGTGTGTGTGTGTGTGTGT